AATGCTCTATGGAAATGTTACCCTGTGTCTGTCTGTGTCTTAGAATTGCACGCTTTGGCTGACGGAACCGGCAAATGTAACTTAACAAGACAAGCCGGCCCACATCCTATATAGCCAGGAAGACATTATTATTATACGGGATTTATAGAGCGCCAACAGTGTGCGCAGCGCTTAAAAATATAAGGAAGACATTACAATCACAAGACAAGATGGTAAGGAGGGCCCTGCCCCTGAGGGCTTACAATCTAAGAGGGAGGGGCCAGTGATACATGAGGAGGGAGCTGTGTGGGGATGAATGGTTGAGCGGTTAGGTTGAGTTTGGATCGGCTTCCCTGAAGAGATGAGTCTTAAGGAATCGCCTAAAGGCAGAGTGGGAGATAGACGGGCAGTTTGGGGTAAAGAGTTCCAAAGAATGGGGGGGAGACTCTAGAGAAGTCCTGCTTAAAGGAGAATTGTGATTTTTCACTCAGCCTCATAATCTGAGCCGACCTGTGACAATGAGACTGTCACAGGTCGGCTCAGTAGATCGGGAGGTGAGGGAACACATACCGCCGCTCGCTCACCTCTCGATCTGACTGTCCCCGCAGGGATTCCCTCCCTCCCCGAGGGGGCGGGTACATCTGGCTCTGCCTCTAGATAGGCAGAGCCCGCTGTCACTCAGGCAGCTGGGCGGATCCAGACCGAATTGTCGGGATCCGCTTCAGCTGCGGCGTCTCAGTATACCGCGAGCTGTAGCTCCCTATATACTGAGCTTTGGGTGACGGGGGGACGCTAGTTTGTGTCCTCCCGTTACCCTAAGGAGAACTATGGGGGGAAAGCCCTGACCACATAGTTCTCCTTTTTAAATTGCTTTTAAAGCCATTCTATTTCATCTCATGCCGGAGTGGAGGCCATCTTACCTCCTGCACATAGCTCACTTCCTGTCTGTAGTACCATTTGAAGGAGTTTGCAGTCGGCTTGGATTGGCTGACGCTGGATTTAATGGGCCTCGCAGGTTTGTCTGGTGCAGGAATGGGTGAGCGATATTTGGTCATAGCCCACAATCCCAACAAGATGGGTCTTCAGCTCATTTATCTTAATGGCTGCGTAAGACAGATGCACTTTGTAGGAAAGGACGACAAGAACGTTCTGGACCAGTTCAGGAAATGTGAGCTTAGGAATACGGAAGAAGAAATATTTTATATAAATAACCGATTTGTGAAATGATCTCGGTATAGACGCTGCTGAGCAGAATATCTGGCAGCAATCTTGTTTGAGGTTCTCCAGTAATGAATAAAATGAACTTGTGTTATGTTTATTGCAGTAATGTTATATGTGCCAGTCCTCAGCTGTGTGACCATGCTACCACTGACCCGTGCCGTCTCCATTGTGTTCATTCCATCTCCTTCCCGTTATAAGGAGGGACAGCTTATGATCGTGGTGCCGGATCTGGTCCAGCTGGCACATCTCCTTAAAAAAAAAAAAACTATTGGGTCAGGGCTTTTTCCCCATAGTTCTCCTTAGGGTAACGGGAGGACACAAACTAGCGTCCTCCCGTCACCCAAAGCTCAGTATATAGGGGCTACAGCTCGCGGTATACTGAGACGCCGGAGCGGATCCCGACATCTATGTCGAGATCTGCCCAGCTGCGTGAGTGACAGCTGGCTCTGCCTATCTAGAGGCTGTACCCGCCCCCTCCCCCGCCCGTTCTGCCAGTCAGCGCTGGCGGATCAGAGGGGGGAATCCAGCCCCTTCTCTGCCGGCACAGGATCGCGAAGTGAGCGAACGCCGGTATGCGTTCGCTCACCTCCCGATCTACTGAGCCGACCTGTGACAGTCTCATTGTCACAGGTCGGCTAGAACTATGAGGTGAGTGAGAAGCCCCTCCCCCCCCCTCATAGTTCTTTTTAAAGATTGAATTTTTCAAGTGTTATAGACACAATAATAATAACACTCTACAGACACATCAATCGGGTCAACATAACCCGGGCAATTATACAGTATCTACACTCTTCTTCACATATCATACAGATGACAAGGTTACACCGTCATAGTATTTACAAGATTCAATACTTGGTAGTCACCCTCCAACTCGGGGAGTATGCAACATAGGGAGTAGGGCACAGCCACATGCAGTCAGTAGGCCAGAAATGGGGTCAGTAGGCTAAAGAGTGATGGTGCATTCGGTACCTCACCCCATCTCTACAGGTGTGTTAGAGGAGGACAGCCATGGATCCCAGATACGCCCGAAGCGTGCCGGGTTGCCCCTCTGCTCGTACGTGAGTTTGTAAATGGGCAATGCCCGATCAACTAGTCTTTTTTCACTCGCCCAGGGAGGGAGCCGTCGGGCAACCCCAGACCGGGAGGATGGTCTTTCTGGCATAGACTAAGAGGAAGCGGAGGATTGT